ACTATGGAAGTATAAAAGCACCTTGTTTTGATTGATAGTGGAACATTGAGCAAACTTCATTCGATCCTGTGACACCTTGGTAATCAGAGCGTAGGTTTCAGCTCAACGCTTAACCACTGGGCCCCTAGGAGCACGCCGAGGATGGAGTTGAAACTTCTTTTCCTGTAAGTACAATGCACTTTCATTTATGTTTCGACTAACCTCGCACAATTGCACCTGGGGTCCTTTTCGAATGCGAGATGCCTCGCCAACCGTTTGATGGAGTGCATCGACGGAGCCGATTTTTTTGCGGGGGCAAACAACCTCGACATTATGAACGCGTCAATTCTGGAGGAACACGTACTGCGACATTCCGAGAAGTTCGTAGTTCGCCACGACTCTTGGAGTTGCGCCAAAATGTGCGCAGCTGCGATCGACGACATCCGTCCGATGGAGGTTTGACGCTTCAGATCGACCAAGGCGAAACGAAATCATAATGAGCGAGTTTGAGTTACAGTGCGAATGGGAACGGGACATCGCAAGCCGCCGAATTCTTTGGAGCGTCCGATCTTTCGGCAGCCGACATCGACAACCGAGAATTGCTGCAGGAAACTAGTCAGCCCAGGTACCGAAAGCTGCTGAACGCGACTCAGAAATATCATCAGATCGCTTGGAGTTTGGACTGTCGGATCGACTTCTGCTTCAACAGACGAGATGGAGCACGATATCTGCCAAAAGGGAGACTAACGCGCAGAACCAAAAATCAGCTGCCTTCGACAACGTTCACTTCAGCTTGACAACCAGTTTTGGATTCTTCCCGTTATGTAGGAATGTGGCGCACAAATCATCTGCTGAGTCAGATTTTTGCAGAGGAATTACCTACTTGGTAATAGCTGCAAGCAGAAAACTGATAGGAGAACGTGGATCGTCGGATCGGTGCGGAATCAACGGCACGAATGCAGCATCATGGAGACAACATTCGTAACCAGCGACTGCACAATCGACGCACCTTCTGACTAGTGTCGATAACGATCGATTTATTTTTACGAAGTCATATTCGATAAAAAATGGATCGACACCAAAACAGTGGATCTTCACCTCGGACTAATAATGGAGCAGCGTGAAGACATGTTCTCCACCCACGAGACACTTCTTCATACAAATTGATCGACAACCTATGGGATTGCAGAGAAGTTTCCATTTTCTCTTGCAATGCTCCCAAGTTCAAGTTGCCGCGAAGGATCAGATTTCGCACGCAACGACGATGCAGTGAACCCGTCTCATCAAGGCCAGCGAGACACTACTTTGTAACAGGAGCTGATCGATTCATCTTCGTCAAGAATCTCAGCCATCCGAAGTGATTGATTGGAGCATTCTCAAGATCAACCTCACGAGGCTACACACCAATCATTCGTCGCGATTGTAGGTGTTAATAACCTGCATGGAAAATCCTTCCGTGCATGTCACGATCCTTGATACATTGAGCAGTAATTAACCTCTAATCCGGCAAGTACTTGTTCACTAGTAACCCTACGGCACATGCATTGGAGGCGATTCTACTAGAAACCGAAGCGTTACAAGCATCAGCGTAACCTCGACGATGTAAGAGATGTTAGAAATAGACTGCAAATACCACTTTTGTATTTGTACTTTTATATCCTAGTTTAGGTTGTGAATATTCTAGTGGGTTGGGGTGTACTCACAAATCCCAACCTCACCCAATTGTGATCCCCACAATCTCCAATTACCCAATTGCAGATTCCGGAGATCCCAATGGGGATTCCCTCCAATTCCCCCTTCATCCATTCTCTCTCACCTTGCCATGTACTTATAGAGCCTTGGGCTCCTTACCTAATCAATCATTTCAACTCTATTTCTTACATGGTATCAGAGCGACCTATCCGCACACGCAGATCAAGGTCCTAATCTGAACGTGCCCGCGCTACGCGCACTTCATCGTCGCGACATTCGTTTCGAGTCGTCGGAATTTCGACGTGCTCCACTCTGCAGTCGCGCCTCTCATCGTCGACCACTTTCGCGCTCGACCTCGTTGAATTTTTCATCTCTGAAGCGTTCACGCTTCTCGTCGTCGATTTCCTCCTCGGTTCTCCTTGGTCAAATCTCAATTTCGACCATCTCTTAAAACTCGTTCTCGAGTTTCCCCTCAGACCCCGCCAGAATAAGCGAACTCCCCTCGCGAAATCGCCTCCACGAACGTCTCGCGTCAAGCAAGAGCAGGTACACAGGTTGAAGCGGAGCGGAGCTGGTTGCGGAGCTGGTTGCGGAGCTGGTTGCGGAGCTGTGTAGCTGCGGGACAGGGCCTGGGGGTGTGTGGGGGGGTGTGTGGGTCCGGGGTTAGACATAGGCTCAGATTCAGTTTCAAGTCGTCCTTTTAACGAATTTTCGCCGACGCCATTTCCTACTTAGCGGCATTTTGATAAAGCCGTCAGAGTGATTTTCAGCAATTCTCGTCGACCAATTTCCAGAAGTGCCGCGCTGCACACCGACAATGGCTTACTCAACCACTTCACTCGCCAACCCGATCCCGCTCCTTCGTCTCGAGCCGGACGGTACATGCTCCAACTACAAGGCTTGGCGCTATGGTGTCGACAAGCACCTCCTCAGTCGCGAGGTAAAGGGGCTCGAGCTCACCGACGTCCTTCTCAACATCGGTGACGGCAAAGAGCCTCCTAAACCCGAGAGGTCTGCCGATCCAGCTAATGCCGCCGCCGAAGCAGTTTATGCTGCTGCACTGCTCAAGTACAAGAATTGGGAGAAGGCCGATGGTGCGGTCATTAGTGTCTTCATGGGCACCACTCCTCCCGAACTCGTCGAAACCTACCACAACTACCCGTCTGCCAACGCCATTTGGCTCTACCTCGAGGATCGCTTCCTGAACAAGACTGCAGTGGGAGTTGCTATACTCATCCCCAGCATGTTCCAAGTGCGGCTCGAGGACTCGCCAGGCATGGCGGACTATGTGACCAAGATGCAGTTCATTCATGGTGAACTCAAACAGTTGGGGATAGTCTTCCCCGAGCAAGCCCCTGCAGCCGCTCTCCTAGTCGGCCTCACTCCGGCATACGAAGTCACACGCAAGATGCTCTTGGGCCTTGCTCCTGCAGACCTCACATTTGCCAAGGTCTCATCCGCGCTCCTTTCTGCCGAAAAGGACAACAGCGCTCAAGCCAAGGCCAATGCAATCCGCGCTCCCGTGCCTCAAGCCTATGCCGCTTCGGCGCCATTCCAGCGCAACCGCTTCCCCCCGTGTCCCTATGTCATCAAGCGCAGCCCTCGTGCCGGCCAGGTGTGTGGCGGCACCAACCACGCCCTTGCCTCCTGCTTCAAGAAAAAGGATGACGATTGGTATGCCGTTAATGGGACCGCCTCGAAGACGCCAAGCTGGATGGTCAATCGTGCTCCTCGCAAGGTCAATCAAGTCGAAGCGCAGGAATGCGTGCAGGCTGCTGTAGCTCCCACTGCTGATGTGCGCCTCAACATGTTGTTCCCTGGCACTGCCATGATTAATGAGACGATTTCCCAGTGTCACGACTCACAAAGCACCTCAGCCACAATAGAGTTCACCCTCGACAGTGGGGCCACTCACACGGTTCTCAAGGAAGAACACTCCTTCAAGCCATACGAGACACCAATCCGTCTACTTGGAGCAGACTCCAGTTTCACAACACACGTCAAGGGCTCCTCCACAGTTCCGTGCCCAGCTTTTCCTTCGGGCAGTGTCACCGGCATGTGTGTTCCCACACTACGCCACAATCTCGTGGCCCAACACGAGCTCCAACGGGCAGGCGTCACCACGACCTTCCCAGCACACTCGGATCACTGACCTCTTCGACCCTAAGTCCAACAAGCTCCTAGCACGCTTCACACTCAACAGTAGCAAGCTCTGTTGGTTAGAGAAGGCTATAAGCAGATGATTCAATGGCTCCTTGGAAATTTCTGCAGCACTTCGTTATGACGCCCAGAAAACTTGCGACCTTCGAATAGCTATATCAAAAACTCCAATCGGTGAAACGATCTGAAAATCGTATATGTTATAGCTTGCAGCGTCAGCTTTCCACTGCAAGTTGAATTACTCGATTCCGTAGCTTAATGAGTGAGCTATGGCGTTTGGCGCACTGGGGGGTAATCTGCCCTAGGAGAAGTTGACAGTCCTCACAGTCACTATGATTGAAGCTTACAAGATCAGAGACATGATGGAAAAGGCATTGAAGCGCAGTTGGAAGGTGGGGTAGGAAGGGAAGGATGAAAGGGAAGGACCCTGGAGGCCCATGGTCAAGAACATGACAAGAGTCAAAGTTTTGACTCCCCATCCTCAGGTTCAGCCAGCCTGGCAAGACAAAATTCACACTGTACCAGGTTGGCCTCCAAACCCCAAATGCTGCAGCTGCAAGGTGGGGACAAAAGTCCCACACATGCTGGTCCCTCCTCGTTATAGGGCTCTCCAACTTTGGTGTAGCAGCTGATAAGGACTTCCCATGAGCTGTAACAAATCCATCAAACATTTCTTCGTAACTTCTTCATATGTGCTCCGATTCCAACAATTCTTGGCTCGTTGGAATGTGCTCGATGTCATGCACAATCCAAGCACATCTACACAAGCACAAGATGAACATGCAAAGACATGCAAACCCAACAAACCATACAAACAACGTAGCACCCAAAACACATGCAAACGAAATGATGCGAACAGACGACAGGATGACGTGCAAATGAATATGCACCAACACACTCCCCCTCAGACTGTCGGCTTGTTTCGCCGTCTCTAGTTCAAGGACATTCCCGCCATCCTCGCACAGCGCCAGTGTGGCTCGTCAGCTAGCCGCTTGGTAAGGAAGTCGGCTGGCTGTTGCTGAGTTTTCAGGTAGATAGGATCTAGTGTCCCAAGCTTCACCTCCTTCCGCAGCCAATGCCACTTGATCCTCATGTGCTTGTTCAACCCATGAAGAACTGCATTGCGTGCCATGGCAATGGCTCCCTTGCTATCACTGAACAGAGGTGTCGCACAAGTCTGTTCATGGCCGATCTCCTTCAAGAGCCTCCTTAGCCAGATGATTTCTTTTGCCGCATGAAACATCGCCATGTACTCAGATTCCACTGAAGATAGTGCCGTCTCAGACTGCTTCTTGGACCTCCAACTCACAGGCCCACCTCCCACCATGCAGATGTATCCACCAACTGATGATGAATCCTCATGCTCAGAAGCCCACGTGGCATCAGCAAAACAGGAAAGGAACACCTTTCCTTCTCCAAGCTGCTCCCCCTTCTCTTTGAGGACTTCAACTCCTTTTTGACTGAGTTGAGCAGAGGCCGAATACTGTACTCCCACTGTAGGGTATGACTTGAGGTAGCGCACCACTCTCTCCGCTGCACCACACTGCTCTTCTGTTGGATTTTGCACTACTCGAGCCAGCTGTCCCACAGCAAAGCTGATGTCAGGCCGAGTATGCACAGCAGCGTAGAGTAGGCTCCCGACCATGGATTGGAATTGCCTCTGGTCTTCACTCTCAACTCCTTCTCCTTCAGCTGCCTTTATGAGTTTGAACTCGGAAGGCAAAGGTGTGACCACTTCCCGTTCTTCCTGCAGAGATTACTTCTCAGCCAAGGTGTGGATGTACTGTCCCTGATGCAGTTTGAGCCAGCCACGTTCAGTATCCCGCTCAATGTGCATTCCCAGGTAGTACCTTGCCTCTCCAAGTGACTTGCACTTGAACTGCTCTGTGAGCTTCCGCTGCACCCCATCGATCTCCTTGTCACTGCTGCTGAAGAGCAGGATGTCATCCACGTACACCAGCAGAAGCACAAGTGACTCCCCCTCTCCCATCAGGAATAGGCTCTCGTCGCATGCACTCGCACGGAATCCAATCCCTTCCAGTGCACTGGCCAGCCTGTTGTACCAGCATCTCGGGGCCTGCTTCAAGCCATAGATGGCCTTGTTAAGTTTGCAGACACGACCGGTTCCATCCTCATAGCCAGGTGGTTGAACCATGTACACCTCCTCTTCCACAATGCCGTACAGAAAAGCGGTTACGATGTCCATCTGCTTCACCTTCCATTTGCGCACAGCAGCTACCGCCAGCAGCACACGTAGCGTTGGAGACTTAGCAGTTGGGGCAAACACTTCTTTGTAATCTTCCTTCTGTTTCTGCTGAAACCCCTTTGCCACCAGCCTGCTCTTGTAAACTGATGGCTCTCCTTTCTCATCCGTCTTGATTTTTGCCAGCCACTTGCACTGTATTGTCTTCTTCCCATTTGGCAAGTACACCAGGTCCCATGTGTGATTCTCCATCTGGCTGTTGTACTCTGCATCTCTTGAAACGAGCCACTTCCCCCGTTGAGGCCCGGCTAGCGCATGATCCATGCTCGGAGGTTGTATTGGTGCGTAAAAGCAGTATGCAGGCTCCTCGTCATCTGACTCTTGGTCATCACCCAAGAACAGCACTGCATCTTCGCCTTGAGCCTGTTCCTGCTGCTCAGTTGTGGCTCCTCCACTTGTGGAGCTCAGCAGCTTTCTCGTTGCCATTCTGGTACGTGCAGGGTAGATGGTTGGATTTACCCATTCTTTCACCTTCACCCAATCCTTTGTCCCCCCACCAATCTGTTTCCTTCGCTTTGGCAGACTTGGTGTTTTGGAAGCCTCTTGCAGCTGCTGCTCCGGATCCTTTACTTCAGCATCAGCTGCAATATCCTCATTGCTTCCTTCATCAGTACCACTTGCCGTTGGCGCAGTGACTTCGCTGTCCTCAGGTTCGGACAGATCGAAGTGCATAGTGATCTCTTCCAGCTGCTGGGTGACCTTTGTCTCCGGCTGCTTCTCCCACTTGCCATACATGATGTTCTCCACAAATTTGACATCCCGACTGTCAAACAGCACATTTTTTTAGGGCTCCCAGAGTAGCCACCTCTTGCTCTCTGCCGCAAGCCCAAGGTGCACACACCAAAGTGCAGATGCTCCAAGCTTTGTCCTGTACGGTTTAGGGACATGCGCTACTGCCATGCATCCGAACACTCGAAGCATGTCCACTGGAGGCTTCTTTCCAAGCCACCTCTCCAGCGGCACCCACATATCATCAGCCACCTTTGTGAGTACGCGGTTCCTTGCCACTGTAGCATGCCTCACCGCATGAGGCCACATGGAGTTCCCCAGCCCTGATTCGATCAGCAGCGCTCGCGCAGTTTCCAGGATGGTCCTATTAGCCCTCTCAGCAACGCCATTTGACTGAGGGGTATAGGACGTCGTTAGCTGATGCACAATGCCTTGTTTCTTGAGCCACGCAGTCAGATCTCCTCCTAGAAACTCTCCACCTCGGTCGGTTCTGATGCTCTTGCATGGGTGCCCAGATTGTCGCTCGACGAACGGCAGCCAATCATCTCGTATTGTTGAGGCAGCATGATCCTTCTGCTTCAACGGGTATGCCCACATCAGCCGACTCCAGTCATCAACTATTGTCAGGAAGTACCTTTCCCCCTTACTTCCTCGGACTGGAAAAGGTCCTACGAGGTCCATGTGCACCAGTTCCAGTGCTGCCTTGCTTTTCCCACCTACGCCGTGAAAGGGGAACCGTGTGAACTTGCTCAGCAGACACGTCTCGCACTTGGTATCATTTGGTTGCCCAGAAAGCTTCAGCCCCTTTACTGCTTCTTCCTTATGCAGTTGCTGCAGCAATGGCATAGCCACATGCCCTAGACGCCTGTGTGCGGTTTCCCAATCAGTCTCCCCCGACCTTGCAGAAACCGTCACTCCTGCAGCACTAACTGCATTACACTCCCCCTGGACTCCAGATCCCGCCTTTACTTCTCCCAACTCCTTCTTTGTTGATTCCCATATCAGTGCAGGGATGTGCCAGATGGGTCTGAAGACATCTCTGCTTTCGTGTAAATCCCATAACACACGATCTCCTCGCAGCCCCTTGAATGTTTTGGATCCATTGGTGGTGGTGCTGACTCCGGCCTGGCCTAGCTTGCGCAGCAATATCAGATTGGCCTTCAGCCCCGGTACGAGTAACACGTCCTTCAGCATAACCAGTCCACCATCAGGTGCTCTGAATGCAGCTCGACCAACTCCAGCGACCTTCACTGCATGTCCGGATGCTGAGCGCACTTCAGAGATTGGAGGCGCTCGCACAGCATCCAGCAAGTCCTTGCGTGGTGTCATTGTCCATGCAGCACCAGAGTCCATGACCCACATGTCAAGCGGGTGCAATTCCTCTCCAGCCCTTGCAACAGCTGTGCCACTGTCATCTTTGTCACACACATAGTAGAACTGTCCAGCATTCCTCTCCTCATTTCCCATTCCTCCGTCATCTTTGGAGGTTTCTTCAGCAGGATCAGCTACCATGTTGGCACCTCCATGTGGTTGCTTTCCTCCATTCCCCTTCTGCGATTGGTTCCAAGGGGTCCACCAGTCGGGCTTGGTAGGGCAGCGAAACCATGGATGCCCTTCTTCCTTGCAATACCAGCACTCTCCCCTCAAGCGTGGTTCACTGTTGTCATTGTTGGAGTGACCACCTCTTCCTCTTGCACCAGCGCCACCACGCCCCCGCTGGTTCCAAGTCCCGCGACCACCTTGGCTGTG